TAATTTGCTTTGCATTTACCCTACGAGTTCTACATGATTCAACGTTTCGTTATCGTGTGTGTTTCTTCTCACCCTTGTGGAATTAGGGAGGGCCTCCCCGAACGACTTCCCTTGGGCTTAGCAATTTAGTTGATCTTAAAAGTGTCTTGCACACTTTTCGCGAGTCTACTCTAGCGTTACTTCCTTTCCGACAGGGTACAGTGGGTTATCTGGAATAGGAGCAATAGGCGACTGCCCAGCTTGCCTTGGTGAAATCTGTCTGATCTTTTCTACCAAAGCTATTAGTATTTGCCGTTGGTCCTGTTAATTTGCACTATTTGCTTTCAGATAATGATGTATTCCTTAAGAAGAACGAAGACGTCATATTTTTAGCTTTTTATTGTATTTTCTTTGAAATCCTAATTGTTTTCTTGACTTTCTCTTGTAGGTAGTTTTGTTTTTTAACTTTTATAAGTCGTTACAAACTGTTATTTGTTAGACATTTTCTTTATATTATGTATTTGTAATAAATGTAAATTGTGTCTAAATAAAAATGGATTATCTTTAAATTATCATTATTTTGTTGTTTTAAATAAATCTGTTTTATTTTCCTGAATGTTTTGTTAAGGCCCTCTGACGTGGATAAAAATAAACCCGAAAAAATCTCAAGAACGATAAGTAGAGAAATTGTATAAATTTTGTTTTTACTGACGTCCTCTTACGACTAGTAGCTGAACTATATAGAATAACAGAAAATTATTATAGAAAGTTGATCCCGCGCTAAAAGTTTAAACCCAAAAAAAGACCTTATGCCACTTATGCTCTCCTAATACAAATGTTCAAATTTACGAAAATTATCAGTCTTGCGTCCCATATAAGGTCTGATCAAAAAATAGTTGAACAATTAAATTTTGTAATTTAGTTCAACTATTTGTTGATCAGACCTTATATGGGTCGCAAAACTGAAAATTTTCTAAAATTTGAACATTTGTATTAGGAGAGCATGCAGATCATCCAAAGTCAAATTAATTCTAATCCTACTTTTATTTCTTCTTGTTACGCCAATGACGTTTTACATACGTATGAAGTTAGTTCCAAATATGGTAGAGCACCAATCAGCATCAAAAATCTGGTACTCATCGAAGACGAGCTCATAGAGATATTGCAAGCTGTTGGTGAATTATATATCGGAATCTGGTTCGTATTTGCTTCGTCTGGTTACTTTACGTTAAAGTGGTCTTTATTAAACAGCATTGAATCATGGCATCATCCGAAGGAATTGGTGTTACAACCGGTCAACCAAATTTACACAAACAGGACCTATCTAAACTTGTAAGTTTTATGAAAACTGTTTTTTTTTTGTAAATTTAATATCTGAATTTGTTCCTGAAATTTTAACGTAACCTCGAATTTGGTATGGTATATTTTGAACTTCGACATTTTCTTATACTGTTAATTTTAGGATGTAACAAAACTTACAGCACTATCGCCGGAAGTTATTAGTAGACAAGCTACAATAAATATCGGAACAATTGGTCATGTAGCTCATGGGAAATCAACTGTGGTTAAAGCTATATCCGGTGTTCAAACAGTTAGATTTAAAAATGAATTGGAACGTAACATTACTATAAAATTAGGTATGTTGTTTAAATATATAGTATAATTTCTGATTTTCTACTAGTTATTACCATTTGTTTTAATTTTTTTAAATTCTAATGTGTCTGTCTACTGTTAAATTCTAATAGAGTTGTTTCTTATTGATTTTCAAAAATGTAACCCGTTCACATCAAATAGTAATTTTGGTTAATGTTTTACAAAACTTGTTATTTCATTAATTATTATATTTTAATAATTCGTAAAACAAACCTTACAGAAAAACTGCAATTTGATGTGAACGGGAAGCCAATAATACCAGAAGGGATTCTGAAGAGGAAGATTAATGAAAAGGACAAAACAATTCCTTCAAAGAAGAACCACTTTACTGAACCAAAAACAAAAGTGAAAGTTAAAAGGAAACATCAAGCAATTGATCAAGAGATTTACTCAAAAGAGTATATAGTGGAACAAATATTAGCTCATAAATATGAAAATGGGACTCACATGTTTCTTGTCAAATGGAAAGGGTGGTCTGAGAAGAACAACACCTGGGAGCCATTACATCATCTGGAACGCTGTCCATCAGTTCTGGGAAATTTTATCACAGATATGCTGGGTAATCAAGCATTGAAGAGCTTATGTAAAATGCTTAAGGTGTCCAATAATTTTCCCGAAAAAATCCTTGAAAGCCTTATTCCATCGGAAGGATTTTCTGCCCTACCAAAAAAACTTAGCATTCAAAGAGAGCTTTTGACAGTGCTATCTGCTTGTCCAAAAGAAAAACATACAAAAAAACTGAAAAGAGGCAAGGAAGCACTTCTAATTTATTTTTTGCATTTGAAACGTGAAATACAGCTCAACCGTCTGGCGATTTGGGAACAAGAAATGAACAAAGTGGCTTGTGAGAATGCAGTTATTAAGGTAGAAAATAACGTAGACCTGGAAGGCCCCCCCATAGACTTCGTTTACATCAATAACTATCGGCCCACCGACGGTATCGTAATCCCCGATAATCCTCCTATCGGTTGTGGATGTTCGAAATGTTCAAATAAAGAGAAACATTGTTGCGGAATGTTTCAGCAACAAACGTACCGTTTCCCTTACAATTCCAAAGGAAGAATCAATCTTCCAAAAGGTACGCCCATATATGAGTGCAACAAAAGTTGCAAATGCGGTCATGATTGTCGCAACAGAGTGGTACAAAGAGGGCGTAACGTTCCTCTATGTATTTATCGTACAAGCAACGGTTGTGGCTGGGGCGTTAAATGTCTACGAAGAATATACACTGGCGAGTATGTATGTGAGTATGTTGGTGAAATAATTAGTCATGAGGAAGCCGAGAGGCGCGGTGCTCTGTACGATTCGCAAGGACGCACCTATCTTTTCGATTTGGATTTTAATTCAAACGATAACCCGTACACTGTGGATGCTGCACGTTTTGGTAACGTTTCCCATTTTATAAATCATTCCTGCGATCCTAATTTGTCAGTGTGGGCAGTCTGGGTCAATTGTCTCGACCCAAACATTCCGAAGTTAGCTCTTTTCGCGACTAGAGAAATAGCAAAGGGTGAAGAACTGACTTTCGACTACATGTCCAATGATAAAAGTATGAAACGCCTCGAGCTACCAAAAAATGAGAAAAAGAAGCATCGATCTGTGTGCAAATGTGGTGCCAATAATTGTCGAAAGTACATTTTTTGACGCCACATTCAAACGTAGTATACCTGTATCTTTTATAATCTATTACATAAACATAGTATGTAAAATCGTTAGGATAAGTTTTTAGAATAATTACAGAACGGTGTGTTAAAAAGCATCCTCTTATTCTTAATGTAGTTTTTAATTAATTTAATGACTCATAAGGAATTTGGAAATTCGAAGTACTTATTTCAATATTTTTATCTTTATTAAGTAACAGATGTTTGTATTGGCGGTGTAGGAAGAGTAGGGTGAGACTTGGATAAGATTTTTATTTATCCTGTACTTTTATGTTTAATTGTTATTAAAAGGGTACGCTAACGCCAAGATCTATAAATGTGATCACCCAAAATGTCCCCGGCCAACATGTTACATGTCGGGCGGTTCGTCCAAAGACGACTCGTTTCCCTGTACTCGCCCTACTTGTGCTGGTAGAATGCAGTTGATCAGACATGTCAGTTTCGTTGATTGCCCCGGTCACGACATACTTATGGCAACGATGCTTAACGGAGCTGCTGTGATGGATGCCGCTCTGCTTTTAATAGCTGGTAATAAACATATTAATTATTCTCCCTGTTTATGTTCAACGTGCCTTTTTTATTCCTTAGGTAACGAGTCTTGCCCTCAACCACAAACGAGTGAACATTTGGCCGCTATAGAAATCATGAAATTGAAAAATATCCTCATTTTACAAAATAAAATAGACTTGGTGAAAGAAGGACAGGCAAAGGAACAACACGAGCAAATCGTCAAGTTCGTACAAGGTACCGTAGCAGAGGGAGCTCCTGTCATTCCTATTTCTGCCCAACTTAAGTACAACATCGAGGTAAATGTTAATATGTACTATCCCTGCTATATGATTTGATCACTTTTCTTTTTTTTGAAAAAAGGTGCTTTGTGAATATATTTGCAAAAAAATTCCCATTCCCGTTCGCGACTTTACGTCTGAACCTCGACTTATAGTTATACGATCATTCGATGTTAACAAGCCCGGTTGCGAGGTGGATGATTTGAAGGGTGGTGTCGCCGGCGGAAGTATTCTTCGAGGGGTCTTACGAGTCGGACAGGAAATTGAGGTATTTATTTTCTCCATTTTCACCCAAATTATAGACGGCATACATGTTATATGTATATAGGTGAGGCCAGGACTTGTAAGCAAGGACTCTGATGGAAGACTAACTTGTCGTCCGATTTTTTCTCGAATAGTTTCTTTATATACGGAACAGAACGAGTTGCAGTTCGCTGTTCCTGGAGGTTTAATTGGCGTAGGTACTAAAATCGAACCGACTCTTTGTAGGGCCGATAGACTCGTTGGGCAAGTGTTAGGAGCCGTTGGAGCTTTGCCTAGCATTTTTATTGAACTTGAGGTATAAAATTTTAGAAAAACTTCAGCTGGATATTCGCTATTGTTATTACCGTAATTTTAGGTGAGCTACTATCTCTTGAAAAGATTATTGGGAGTACGTACAGAGGGGGATAAAAAGGCGGCCAAAGTGCAAAAATTGACCAAAAACGAAGTTTTGCTCGTCAACATCGGATCTTTAAGTACGGGGGGAAGAGTCCTTGCTACAAAGGCCGATTTAGTGAAAATAGCCCTCACCAATCCTGTTTGCACTGAAATTGACGAAAAAATTGCATT